TGACACATATTGCATCAGATTTAGCTGAGACAAGCCTGTATACCTACTCTTCAATTTTTGTACGTTCTGCATATTCTTGTAGCGCAGATTTTTGAAGTACCTCATCACCTTCATTTTCTGCATCAATATTAACCTTCCTGCTGTTATCAAAAGAAATAGTAACAAAACTAAATGTGCAGCCAATCAGTGGTAGACTAAGTAGCATGTGCGCAGTTTCTTGTGCTGCCATATCTCTATCTCCAGCAACTTGGATCATTGCTTTCTTGAAGGCCGGAGAGACTTGATCATCATTCTGTAATGAGGACACAGACAATTTTAGTATTTCTGACGCTGATTTCGATCGGGGTTCTCCTTTCGCAGCATACTTGGCCATGTATCTTGCACAAGCTTTCTCATCTACAATGACTTGCAAATCTACATTAGCCCGCCAGTTTTCAAGCATCACCCTGTTATGTGAATTTAACCTTTGATCATTTCGTTTGGTGTGTAACTCAGACCATAGACAATCAAAGGAATGGACTGGAAACGCCATATATTAAGCGTGTTACTTCCGTGATGCGGTCAGCTGTACATTTTGCGGGCTCATGTACACAAATTAGCTATTCAAGATGGCGGAGTCAACAAGCGCGATGGCTGATTTAGATTGGGATGCGATTTTCGAGATAGATTTTGTGGAGGAAAGCGGTAGTGAAGACGAAAATTCAGACAGCGAAGACGACGGGTTACCAATTAATGAAGGTATGTTATTTCCTATTGTCAAACTTGCTGTTGTTTAGGCGAAAAATTGTCAAAATTTGTCTTGACTAGTTTCCCCGCGAAAACTCTTACAGTATATATTTGATCATTCTTTTGAGAAAAACTGAAAAAGTATAATACTGTATACAACGCTTATTATAATACTCATACTGAATAGTTTTACTAAAATTGTAGTACTGTAGTTCCGTACATTTGCTACCTCCTCCGCAGGCCCTTTTTCCGGGCACATTTGCGGGCGGTGCAAATTTTTGCGGGCCACTTTTAGAACTTGAAGCGAAGCGCGAAGGGCCTGCCATATAATGTGTCGAAAATCGGGAATATGTGTCGAAAATCGGGAAT